TGTTACTACTAGTAAGGCACTTGTTACTACTAGCGTGGCACCTGTTACTACTAGTAAGGCACTTGTTACTAAGGCACCTGTTACTACTAGCGTGGCACTTGTTACTACTGTAGCGTGTATTGCTCGGTACTCGCCGACACCGACACCACTCCCGCCTCGCAGCCAAAGCAAAGCAGCTGCCCTTCTCCTCCTCAGGCAAGTCCTGGGAGGACAAGTCGAAGCCAGGTACGCATCGGACCTTCTTGCCACAAATCGTGCAACTGAACCAGGTGCTAATTCTCAATACTTACCCGAAAGAGCTTCTATATATAGTGGTATCCACGTGTTTTGGAAAAGCTCGAAAGGTTCTCTTTCGAACATTTGTCACTTGTGATATCCACACATGACGAGTCACATGCGTCACCCAAAAAGCCGCATCGTTCCGGGAGCCAACCTGAAAGACTGGACCGGCTTGAGCAGCCCCCAAGCCGGGCACACCCTCGACGGGTGAAATTCTTGAGGCCTAAGAGCGATGGCCTCCAATTCAGCAGCTGGGCTTGTGAAAGGACCAAAATCAAAACTAAAAACCGTATCAGGTCGTCAGTTTCGGATGATTCCGCACCCAAAGCGCGTCACTTTTGTCTTGCAGCTGGGCATACCATTTTGGTCCACCCATTGCGCTCTTGCGCTCTCTTCTCTGGCATACATTTGGGCTGCTCTAGGATCTCACGCCCATCTGTGGTGGTCTTTCACCAATTAGCGCACCGTAGATCAAACGCAAGCGGCCCGCCATGTTCACAAGGCACGTTTTGCGCAAGCTTGAGGAATCTGAGGATCTAATTGAACATAGGCAGCAGTTTAGAATTCTATTTTGGACGAGCATTGTCATGTCAAACATCACCACTCTCTGCCAGACAAACTCTGTTGCGATCAACCGAAGCTTCGGGGGTCAGCCCAAGTCGAAGTATATGAACTGCGGATTGCAGCCCATCCGGCGAAACCACACCAAATTTCCCCACTGTTTCAACCAACCAAAACAATCCTTCTATTTTTGTACTCCGGCCTTTCAAGCAGTCAATCGCCCCAAAACGCTCTGGCAGCGCACACTTGGTGAACTCGGTGGCCACCTGCACTGCTTCACCCCCCTTCTTCTTCCGCCCGCACTCCCCCTCTCCTGCAGGAATTGCTCCAAGGTCTCTGGACACAAAGCCGCAGTGCAACATCTGCACGTGGAGGGGAGCCCGGAGCTAGGCCGGAGAACATGTTTTCCCTCCGTTCGGGATGATTTCGATGGAACAAAAGCCTGCACTATTATAACCAGAAACATCACAATTTATGTTCTAGAACTGTAGATTGAGTAGTAGCGGTGATGCAGGGTCCATTACGTGGTATGCGTATGGCAAAGGATGTTTCTGAATTCAACTACTAGGAACAAGGACGCTACTAGGAACAAGTGCATCGCTTCTAGTAACAAGTGCCTTACTAGTAGTAACAAGAAGCTAGTAGTAACAAGTGCCTCGCTACTAGTAACAACCTGGAACCTGAAACGACCACCTTTTTTTGGTTGTTTCGTCAAACGACCAAAAATTTTTGAAACGACCAAAAAAAATGTTTTTTTCTTAAACGACCGTATTTTTGTCAATTATGATGATGTTCAACTATATAGTTGAATATATGTTGAAACACAAAACGCAAGGTAAATCTGTATGTTCATATGCATGCACATTGTAAAACACAAGCTAATTCTGTATGTCAGTACATGCACACACTGTAAAACACAAGCTAATTCTGTATGTCAGTACATGCACACACAGTAAAACACAAGGGAATTCTGTAGTTTACATTATAATTTGATGTGCTTTAGCAAGCACATCTGTGCTTTTGCAAGCACATTTGTGCTTTTGTAAGCGTTTCATGTGCATGCAACCTGCAGCATTTTGCTTAAACTTAAAGGGGGTTAGTGTTTGGTGCATGCGTGGCTATGTGCCATTGTCGTGGCCTGGTTGAACAAGCAAGCTTTTGATGCTGCTGCATGCAGTGTGAGGCTCGCCAGCTATATAGGGACTAAAAGACATGTGCATGAGTGCATGCACGTGTGAACTGCACAAACAATCAAGCAAGGCGCGCATGGGATGTGAATGGTTTGGTGATGAGCTTGTTCAAACTCAAATGTCCTAAGGAACCTTGGCAGCAATTCATTATTTGCGTTGGTGCCTGGGCCTTTGTAGGCCTTGGGTGCTTGGGCTTTTGCCAGCCTGCCTTTGGGCCTTTGGGGGCCTGAAGGATTAAGTCTTAATGTTTGGGCCTTTGCAGGCCCAGTGTTTGGGCCATTGCTGGCCTTGGAGCGCTGGAAGTTGCTTACCTGCCTTTTGTGCTAGGTTTTTGTTCTGATCGTACTACTGGTGGTATGGAATGAAGATCTGGGTGTTCAGAGCCAGACTGCGAAGGCCGATATTCGTGCTGTTGAGTGAGTGTGTATGACATCTCCTTGATGCCAGCTTGCATGTGAATGGTCCTGCAATTTGGCCTTTCAGCAGTCTCGTGGCTCAAGATGCCAAGAGGCAAGGCTTCCACAGAAACGCGGAAGGCAACCAGGGCACTCGCGCAGGCCTTGCAGTCCAACAATGAATTGATTCGCAATCTACAGGGCCTGGAGAACCTGCAGACGATTGCCAATCGCCAGACTGCCCGTGCAGATGGCCAACTTCATGAGACTTGGCTATAGTTTGATATGCTGATTTGTATGTGTTGATTTGCATGCGCTTGCTTGTTGCTGCATTGGTGGTTGCTGATTCGGGGACTCAGGAAGGGGAAAGGCACCGAGAGCTCCTTCTCAACATGATGCGGAACATGGTATCCGGGCTATTAGTGCATGCGCTTGGTATATGGTAGTGTATGCACTTATTAATATTGGCGATATCCCAGGTAGAGGCAGCTGATATGATGAGCTTGCGGAAGCAGAAGCTGGCTCACCTGCCTCTTCCTGCCCAGCATCCACTGTGCCACCAAGGGCACCACCTCCAAGGCGGCCAGCGCCTCCAAGTGTACCACCTCAAACGACAGCCCCAATGCATGGAGGTCCAACAGTGCTGCCTCCACAAATGACAGGGCCTCAGATGACAGCCCCAATGCCGCTGCCTCCACAAATGATGGGACCTCCGATGGCGGCTCCGATGCCGTCGCCTCCGCCAATGATGATGCCCCAGATGACATCCCCAATGCCTGCAGCTCCAATGGTGCCTCCCCCCCTGGGATGCATCCACCAATGCCTCCTCCAACACATATGATGCCTGCAGGGAATGCGATGCCTCCATCGGTGATGGGCCCATATGTGCTTGACCCGGTCCTCCTTGCACAAATGGCATCTGGGCTTAATTTGTTTGCGCTTGTCTAAATGATGCATGTGTGCGTTTCATGTGTGGCTCTTTCATGTCTGCGTGTTTGGTCAGTGACTTGAGGTGCAACAAATGAATCAGCAGCAAGATGATCAGGTGACTTGGTTGGCTTGTATACAGGCACGTTCAAACAAGTCATGCCATTTGAAGTGATTGAGGCGTTGTACATGGAACCAACACCGCCAATGGGGATGCCAAAAGGGCCGAACATGGACGCAAACAAGGCGCCTTAATTTAGAAGTTTATTCAGCATGTGTGGCAGTTCATTGCACATTTGTGGCAGTTCCAGCATGTGTGAATGCAAATGAGGTGCCTCAACCGCCAATGGGGCCACAGGTGCCACAGCAACAGCAGGATCAGGGTTATCACCAACAGGGACAGCAGCATGTGACTTGGTTATATACGCGCACGCATGCTTCAACCTTGTGCAATGGTGATTGTTTGAAGTAAGCTGAGGTACCGCATGCAGCACCAAATATGGCAAAGTCCAAGAATTCTGATCCAACTCATGTACCCTGGCATGTGTGGCAGTTCGAGTGGCCATGCATGAAATGTACATGATTGATACATCTGATCTGAGGTGGACATGCCAGAATGGGCAAACCAGCTGGATAAGAAGAATGACCTGAAACACCCCAAAGGACATCCTGTGCTTTGGCTTAAAAAACAGGCTTGATTTCACACACATGTGTTTTATACATTGCCTGGAAGCTTCAGGCACAGGGGCCCGAGCTATCAGTGGACAATGACGCTTTCTTGATTCAAGCGCGTCAGATCCTTCAGCAGTTCCAAGAGCGGGAGAAGAATCGCAAAAAGGGTAACTTTACCGAAGTGGAGGAGGTGGTGGATCCTGCGGATGCACCAAAAAGTGAGCCACCACCAAAGCCGTCTTTGCGTGGTAGTGCTGCAGCGATGGTGAAGAAGAAACTGCAAAAGCCTCCTGATCCACGACTTGTGGTCAAGTGCAAGCCGATGCCCCAACCACCGCCTGCAATGAAGGGGAAGGCCCGTGCCGCTCCTGCTGATGCAGTGCCACCGGCAGCGCCAAATCCAGCTACCAGTGGCCTGAAGCGCAAGAATCAGCGTGAGCCCTCAGTTCCAAGGAAGATGAGCAAGAAGTGAGGGGCTGGCTGTACATGTTGCCATTTTGGCACGCAGGCATGACGCCTGGAGCCTTGATTTCAATTTCAATACAGCTGAACTGTGGACCTCTCTGTGAGCAACAAAGGGTGAATGTCATGAGATGTCCTGAGTGTTTCTGCAACCTCTTGCACCATGCAAATTTAGTATGTGCATGTGTACAGTCATGAGTGGAGGTGTACGATCTGTTGGAGTTCTTTGCTGGATGTGGAGCGCTCACGGATGAAGCTCGATGCAGCGGCTACCGCACAGCCAGTGTGGACATCAAGTATGTTCCTGGTGGTGCTATGGATTGCAATGCTCCTGCTGGCTTTGCGTTTCTTGTCACCTTGTTTTTGCAAGATGTGTTGCGTGGGTGTATTCTGACTGCGCTGGACTTAGGCTGCATGTGGCTACAATACTTCGTTCCCGCATTGATGCACCAACTCTGGCATGGTTTGGCATACTATGCTCCTCGTGGGTTGCAACATCTCGTGGCTCTATTTTCAGAACTTGGCTAGTTCCTGAGGGTGTTTCAGGGCCTGCAGTGGATGAGGGCAATTGCATGGCAGCCAGGCAGGGGGCTAAGCTTGGATGGTTGGGCCTTTGCAGGCCCTGCCTGTGGGCCTTTGCCGGCCTGGTATATTGTTGGATGGGTGGGCCATGGCAGGGCCTTCGCAGGCCCTGCCTGTGGGCCTTTGCTGGCCTGGTTTGTTGGCCTGCAGAGGCCTGTGCATTGCGCATCGTCTGTTGCAGGTGCAGCTTCCTCTTCCTGCTGATCCATGCCCTTGGAGGGGTTTGGGCTCTTGAGCAACCACGTTCCTTGCTGCTGATGCAGTATGGGCGTATGCGAGATGTAGCTGCCAGGATTCAGGTCTATGATGTTGCCTTTTGGATGGCAGGTTTTGGTGCCAAAACACCCAAGAGGTCAATGTTGTGGTCAAACAGCATTGGCTGCATGCATTTTCAGACACCAAAGCTCTCTATGAAAAAGGCCAAGTTGCTGAAGGATGTGGACTTTGGAGAGCCGGTGATGAAATATGTCCACAAGGGCAAGAAATGCTGGAAGGGAACGCGCTGGCTTACAGCAACTGGGATCCTGAGTTGCATTAATTAAATTTGAAATTTACAATATTTGGTGATCAAATTGAGCTGAACACCATATCAGGATCTACACTCGCCTTTTTGGGAAGCACATTGTGGAGGTGTTCAAAAGGAACCACATGAAGCCACCTGTGAGTGACTTTCCCTTGAAGGCTTCCATGCAGGAGGCGCAGGAAGCCTTCGAACAAGAGAGTTTTGATGATTTGGTTGCAGATGGGCGCCTGATAGAGGTGATTAGATACCTGCGGTCCTTGAAAGGGCTGAAGATTCCGGAGTCTTGGAGGCCACTGGTGCCCACCAAACTCTGAGAGGACAGGCTGGTGTGATGGAAAATGGCTTTGAGTGAGCTCACTGGAGCATTTTTGGCAGTTTTTTGGCATTTTTGATGTTTTTGCTAATTTTTTTGATTTTGGATATCGTATACGACCGTATACGACCGTATTTTTTTGGAAACGACCGTATATTTTTCGAACCACGACCGTATATTTCTGGAAACGACCGTATATTTTTCGAACCACGACCGTATTTTTTTGAAACGACCGTATATTTTGCGTATACGACCGTATATTCTTCAAGTTGTTAGCGTACACAGGCCGTATGCAAACCGTATGCAAACCGTACGCAAACCGTATAAATCCGTATAAATACGTATACGGGGAGCATGGTTCAGAGCCACTTGATGGCTATAGCTTTTTGTGCTCAATTCTTGGGTTTGGGTGATCACCATGGAAGCAAAATCGATGACCCTGGAGAGTGACTTGGCCCATGGGTTGCCAAAATAGGGTATTGAACTTTATGTGGATTGTTTTTCTAAGGCCAATGCAGGTCAGGTTCGACCCTCATTGGTGGACTGGCAAGGTTGGAATCACGTGTCAAGGCGCATGGCATGCATGCATGTTGATACTTGCCATGAACAGCCTGAGCAGGTAGAGATTCCAGAGACGGATGAGGGTTTATCAAACTATGTCCAGGACATCATACTTTAAATCAGTATACTCACATGTGCCTGAGAAGGCACATCTCAGGCACATGTGTGCCCGAGAGGGCAGAACCAATGTCTGGCAAACCTGCGCCTGATGTTTTTACAATCATGTTTGCAGCCAGTTGGCCAAAGGGGTGCGGCGCTTGGCACTCGCTGCTTGTGGAATGCAACTGGGTGATCAGGTGTGCAACTTCCCTCTGCTTGAGAGGTTCCTGCGTCAAGCACTGTGGAGTGTGCGCAGATAGATGCAGAAGATGGGATTGCTGATTGTGATGCGCAGGATTGGGGCCTGGTTGTATAAGTTAGGTGGCCGCATCGTGTATGTTCAAGGTCGCTGGGACCAGTTGCCTAAAGCGAGAGCATGGGACCTGTCTGTGTAATTGAGGGCCTGCGAAGGCCCTCACCTGTGCGCACCACCTGTGTTTGCAGGACCTGGCAAAAGGGTCAACAAGAGATGCAGAAGAACATGTGCACAAAGTCATGGGTGACTGCCAGAAGGCCACTTTCCAGGCCAAGATATCATTCCTGCAGACGCTTGGAGAACAAGAGTTGTTTCATTTTTTGTGCATGATTGTCAATGCTCTTTGGCACTGGCACCCAAAGAGTGGGAAAGTCCAAGCGTCAGGTTGGGTGTGTCAAAGAAGCTCATGAACTACCCGGCCATAGAGCCCATGGATGTTGTTGCAGCTTTGGCCCAACATGGCCATTTTGAAGCTGCCCTTGGGGTGACCCTGAAGAGGTGTGCCTTGGATTAATGAGACCGTTTGGTTGTCGTTGGTCACTGTGTGTGAGACATGGGTTTTGGGGCAACTGCAGGCCATGAAGATTTGGCCAATTTTTGGCAGTGGTTCCAACACGTCTTCCCCAACCGTGATGTTTCGGAAGATCTTCGACAGGGTGTCGTTGATGCAAGCAGCCTTGTGCCGGTACAGCTCCATGGAGATGGAGGTCGACACTTCAAAAAAACAGAGGTGATGATCCTTCAATGGCAGCCAGTGTTGGGAGGAGGAACAAAAAAGGCTTTGCCAAGTAGAGTTGGGTTGGCCATCAACTACTGTGGCAACACCTGGGGAACCCGGTTCCTTTTCAGTGTCCTTCCACGCGCAATGTACAGTGGTACACCCCAGCCGTTGAACCGACTGTTCAGAGCTTTTGGAATCTTGTTTGCATGTGTGCTGTGGTTTGTTGCGATTGTTTTAATAATGTTGATTTTTTTAAAATTATGAACTGAGGAAATGGCATGAAGCGACTCTATGAGGAGGGCTATAACTATGGGGGGCTGAAGTTCAAGTTTGCCACCATTGGGATGAAAGGTGACGTGGTCAGCAGGTTCAAACCCCATAGTATGCGTGGCAATGCAGGAGAGTTGACATTGAGGCTGTGCATGGCTGGCACAAGGGATCATCCTTTTGAGGACCTGAGCAACACAGTGGCTTGGATGCAGCTAGGCAAAATCCGCGAGTACTGGGTTGAGATTCGGACCACTGGGACATGTGGCAGCAAGGAAGTGGACCAGATCACCACTTCGGTTCGTGGGGAGGGGGAAGGATCGGCTGAATCGCAGCCTCGGGCCATGGCCCTGGCTATGCCTGGGCTTGACACTTGTGTGAGTTATGTGTCCATGTGGGTCTATAGTGTTACCCTATAGATGAACTTGGGGATTTGGCTTTGCCAGCTTCGACAGCCTAAAGGTTATATAGATTGATCGATACTAGACCCATGTTGATGTTGTGAGCAATTTGCAGGACATGCCTTTGATATCGTGACATATCATGGTCTTTTTTGGGCCCAAGTTTTGCCCTGGCTGCTCTCCTGGTGGAGTCACTGAGAGGGATCTCAAGTTGTTTGCTTGATTTACGGGCACGGCGGTCCTTCCTGTGCGTGAAATAATTCGTGAACACCCTCAGTTAGATCCTGGTCAAGCACCTCCAGTGGGACCTTGGCTACAGGACCTGGCTATGTGTGGCACAGCCCTTGCTGAATGCAAGGTTGGCAAGTACTACCACAGCGGTACGAAACGCTACTCCGAGTGGTTGTTCCTGTTCACAGTGGAAGGTCAACAAAGGGTAGGATTCCTACGAAGGACCAAGTGCCTAGACTTGAATTCAGACAATTTGTATTTTTTAACACTTGAGTACCAGTATTGAAGTGTGTGGCATAAAGTCTAGCGGGAGGTTTTAATTTTTTCTATATTTTTCGCTCATAAGTCATTCTGATACATGGTTAATTTGTTAGAGCATTTTTGACCCACTCAGGAGCAAGAACATCGCTTTTGGCTCTGTGGGGACATGGCAATGGTTGGATGGGGACTTCCGACTATGGGGCTTCTCATGCTGTAAAGGAGCAGTGTGTCACGATCTACTGTTCACTTTGCAGGGACACAAGGCAGTCGATGTGTCAGTGGCTTTTATATACTGTATGTTGTTTCTGTTCAGAACATGTTATTTCCTGGTCTGGTTGTCGTGTATTGTCTCATGCTTTGGTTTCTTCTGGTTGTCCTGCATGCTTGTTTTTGAATCATAGTTTCCCTGGCAGGCCTGTCGATCTGTGACGGAAGGTGTCACTCGCTTCGTCTTTTGGATGGATGATGGTCGCGTACCTCCCCCATCGCCAGGGCCGATCCCATTGCAAGATCGCCCCATTGCCTTGGATGGGCGGTTGGATCCATTGCCCTTGGAAGATGCCTTACCAGATGCTTCTGCTTCTGATGCAAATGGTCGGCTTTTGGACAATGGATTTTTTTATGTGTTCGATGGAGTCACCGATGTACTTGAGACTTCGCCCCGGAGTTGGCTCGCGCTACCTGATGAAGCCGGAGCGCACCGATGAAGAGACTTGAGGATGCCCATGTGACACATTGTGACACTGTCACATGAAACGGACAGGACCGGCAGGAAGCCAGGAATAATAGCTAGGTGGGAAAAGCTCACCCAGCTTTTTGGAATCAACTGCTTGCTGTGACAGAGACCAATGCAGCAAGCACCTTTTGAATTGGAATCATTGACGAAAATCGTCAGTCTGGAATGAACATAAGCGTGGGCCTGATGGAAAGAAACTCAAACTGCATGCAAACACGCTGAATCTGACACTAATGGGGTATAGTGCCTCAGACTTTGCGTGTGGTTTTTGGTCTAAGGCACAGGACTCTTGTGTTCATGCGGTTTTTGGAGTGGTTGTGTGGCGTCCACCAAAGCAAGTTCAACGGCCTAGAAGTTTGATGTTCATCAGGGATGCAGCAAAAGCGATGAATGAATTTTGGGGAACATTGCATGAATTGGGTGTGTGGATCTATGGTGATGCAGCTGCATCTTTGGTGGCCAAAGGCCAATTGTTTTGCAATTTGTATCAGAAGCTTGCCATTTTGGCATTTGAAAAGGAACGCTTGTTGTACAATATGATTCCGAAAGCACATCTGTTTCATCACGTGGTGACAGTGATGTGCATGCAACACTCACGGTGTGGGTATGTGTGGAACCCACTGGTTGATAGCACCCCCTTAGACGAAGACTTTGTGGGACATACAGCGAGGATTAACCGACGTGTTGCTAGCAAGACTGTTCAACTCCGCACACTCCAAGGTTGGAAGTGTGCTGCGCTGGTGGCATTGAAGGATCGCTGCTGAGATTGTCAGTGAAAAAGTGTGCTTTGTTTCTTTTCTGTTCCGTTTATGCTCGCGTTCGTGCATTAAGGTCATAAGTGTGCCTGCATGAGTACCTTCTTGACAGGTGCCTGTGAAGGCACCACCCTTTCAACAAAACCAATTTCGCTCGATCGATAGGTGCCTGTCAAGGCACCAACCATTTAACAAGTCACCTAAAGGGTGAATGAAGTTTCACTTTTTTAAGCAACAAGCTGATGAATAAGAGACATTGAACTCAATTGTAAAATGCGCGCAACATGAAACGACCGTATTTTTCTCATACGAAATGACCGAAAAATGAAACGACCGTATTTTTTTAAAACGACCAAAAAACATGGTCTTTTCCAAAACGACCAAAAAAAGGTGGTCGTTTCAGGTCCCAGGAAGAAGCTGCAAACCATGTCACCTGCGAGCTCACTGCTCGCCTGGTGATGTGTTTCAAGAGCTCCAAATCCTCTGAGGAGCGCTTCTCCGGTGGTCTGCCTTAGGCCAATCTAAGCATCAACTCTGTTTCTACACCAGTCCATCAGATTCATCATTCTCTCCACCATTCAAAAAATGCATCTGTCCCTGTTTTTTTTGATGACTCGTCCTTTGACATCATCTCCAAAGCCACCCAGAAGCAGCTCCCTGGAGGATTGCTATTAGGTGTACTCGGTGCTCTTTCTTTCCTTCCTTTCTTTCTT